GGTATTGTTCATTTTGTGTGCTGGGGGGTGCGGGGCCAGTCAAATAAACAGGTTCTTTCCACCTCTCTCCGAGGAATTTTTTCCCGAACCGGTTGGGGGGAGGGGCCGTGTGGGTTTCGCTTTCTGGAGGGGCCCTCCTTTGCAGATTCTTTAACAAATTTGCCCTAAACCAGTACATTACCATGTGAAGCATGAACTATATTTTGTTCTTGTTCCCCAGAGAATATCACTATGAAATCTTATTATTGGTTGTATCACCAGGTCTTGAAACTTTCTGCCACTTCTGCTCAACTGCAATCTGAGATTCTAAATCTAAAAGAGAAAAAACCTCAAAGTGGTATGGAATGTCTTTTTGTAGAAGTGGAAGCAAACTTTTGAGCATCACTTAAAAGAATTTTAAATAAAAAATTAAAAATATTCAACAGCATTACTTGTGGAAAAAAAATCACCTTTAATGGAAGATAATTTTTGATGCATTATCTTTATATAAATATGCTTGAAATCTTTTCAAAGAATAGATTCTGTGTACATGCATGCTATATTTCCAAACACCTGATGCCTCATATTCTTTGGAAATCCTTATGAATTACTTTTGAAGACCACATGTTGACAAATGTGATTAAAATGTAGCTTTTGTTCTTTTATCGAGACTTCTTTCCCTGGCCTATGGTTAATTTACTCTGCAGCCTCATGCAACTGCAAGCAATTATTGGTTTCTTCTGTGCACAGAACCATTGGAAGCAGCCTCTATTCCAGAATCTATTCCATTACTGGCATAAAGCACTTTTGTACTTGTACTTATGTCACTGCTCACAGATGCCTGTCGATCCTGATCTGAAAGGACTTTAGCAATGAAGATTTTACACCCACTCTATCCCACACTTCTGCTGTTCTTGGCAGTTAAATTCTTTCCTGAATATCTAATCAGAATATCCTCTGCAAAGGTCCACTACTTCTTGCTCTATTTGGACAAAGGAGAAGCTACAAATTTTGCTTACTCTGACTCCAGGGAAGCTAATGAAAATGAAAAAAATAATTACAAAATTACTGAAAGTTATGAAATAAATTCAGCAGAAGGTGGTGACAAGTAATCCTATGCAGGAATGATAAACATCATGAAGATTGGATGGGATGAGTTGAAGTGTGTCCCTAGCAATTATGCAGAAAAACATACCAGAGACTATGGAGGATGATGAGAACACTATTGACATCACAGTGTCAGGGTAGTCTGAAAAGAGATAAACATCACTCTGGAAAATATAAACAGACAGGCTATAAACAGGAAAGTATAAAGATAAAGCCTAGACTAGCTTATTCTACTAGGAAAGCTTTATTTTCCAGAAAGATGTAAAGCAATTAATGGAACTTTGATGAAAAAAATGGAAAGCAGCTAAAGTGTTGTATATATCATCTGAAAAGGTTAAACAAGCTGGGAGTTCCTAACTTAAAGAAGAGAAAGCTTTAAGAGGAAAATGACAGCCTTCATCTCATGGATGAAAGAGAAGCATAAAAATATATGATCATTTGAAGAGGTTGCAGTTGCTCTCTTATCTTTTTCTAACAAATTTTGCATCAGGCTGCAGTCACAAGAGTGTTTTCTGGGAGTTGGTCACACATCAGGAGTGTCAGGACAGAGGCTGACTTGCCATCCTGGACACATACATTGACCTGCTTTGAGGGTGTCCTCAGAGCTGTCAAGACTTGGGTGAGTCCATTTTCACTTCCCTGCATCCATGTTCCCCAGGACACACCCTGGTTTGGCCCCCTTGTGCCCTCAGGCATCTCCTGTGGCCTGCCCTGAATTCTGAAACCAGGATCCTTAAGTGGGTTGTTGTCAGCAGCATTGAGTCCTTGACTGGGTCACACTGACACCAAGGATTCCATTATTTGTTGACTCGTTGTGTGCACAGTTTCCTTCTCTCCAAAGCTGTGACCCTGGCCTCACTAGGATGAGCAGCTTTTAATAACACTTCAGACTAAACAGAAACACTGGGGTAAAGCTTCCTCAGCTTCCAAACAGAAAAGTGAATGCCATGTGTATTCCCACTGCGTTGCTATGAAAATCAGTGCCCAGCATATGTGCTGATCATTGCAACACTAGAAGCTACTAAAAAATTCTACACAGATAAATTAAAATCAATTATTTTTAAACTAATATTGAAAAATTCTTTGAGATTTTCTGCAATGTCAAATTATCATGGGATTTATCATCTGCATTGTGTTCTCTCATTAAAAGAGTTTTTATGTAGGGCTAGGGATAGGATATTCTTTCACTCTTTGTGTGTGGATGCCCTGTTGGGGATTAGGAAAGGCATGAGGTAATATAGGATAACCTCAGGGTCCTATCCATGTCCGTCCCAGCAACTGCAAAAATTAACCCTGCCCTGGCTCTAACCAGAACTCATAGGAGAAAAATGCCATCTATAACAGTAAGAAATGTAATTTTACACTTAGCTTGTTCTTTATATTATTTCACTCTATCTGGAGTAGCCACCAATGAAATAAGGAAAAAAAATGTTTAATTTGGTAGAAGAAAGGAGGCATCATAAGGAGGCATTAGGGATTAATTTCAGTAATTAATTTTCATGCTATTACCATAATTAATGATAGCTAACTATTACCATAACTAATGATGGCTTGCTAACTGAAGATAAATACTGTAATAACAAAACGTCTATGTTGGTCTTCCTTCATTTGAAAGCAATGATATAATTCTCAACAAGTAAGATTTGATTCCTTTATGTCCTTCCCAGATGAGCAAGCTGCTGAATGAGGATACTAACGGGACCAGAGATTTGAAAGAAACCTTAGATAATAGAACTGGAGGGGGTCCAGAGAGCTCATATTATTCATCCCCATTATTCATATTAAACATGCATGTTTAATATCATTGCTGTGAGCAATTCTGAGAAATGAAGTGGAGGAGCTCACCTGAGTACATAAAAGGATATATGTCTATAGGTCTGAGAACACATTTTTAATTACTAAGCTGCAATTTTTAATTTTTCTTAAGTAGGTTAAGTTGCTGATTTAAGGGACTCTTAACTGGGCACTTAAACTCTTAACCACTTAAAAGCAAGGAGTCCACACATTAATTGGTAAAAATGGCAATAGGAAATGAGATTAAAAAAAACCCAAACTGTTTCAAATAGTGGTTTTGTACATTTAAATAGCAAGCATTAAGACAACCATGAGTGCAAACAAATTAATAGCCGAGTGGTTTTTAGGACAAGATTTATCTGCCTGGAAATTTTCAAATACTTCCCAATTGCCCAGCTGGATAATTATTCTCATGTTTATTGCTTGATCTAGTTCTTATGGCAAAGTCAGCTTCAAACCAAGTGAGAATTGCCATTATGGATAGCTTTGATGTTATTCTTTCATCTAATAGCTCTACATTTGAGCTATCATTAACACAAGTGTATGTAAAAAGCTATATATATATTTTAGAATGCTTTCAGTTGCCAGTAAGACATTTGCCTTACTCAAATGCTTGAAATAGAATAGATATTCAGATATACTATTTCTATTCTATAGCATGTTTAATATCAGGGCAGAATTGTTAATTCTTCTCTTATTCTGGTCAACAATGATCTGCAAAAGAAAATCTACTTAGTGCAGTAAATTTTTTGTGACACTTTCTTAGGGGTCTGGTAAATCATCTGTCAGTCTGTACAAAGACAGTGTGGCACTGGATTTGCAGCACTCTATGTTGTCTTAACATTTGACAAATAATCAGTCTAAATAAACCAATTAACAGTCATGTATCTGCAAAATTCTAAGTTCTTACGGTGACATTGACCAACAGAGAAAGAAACTACTTCCTATTTAGAATAACAGGAGACTTCTCAGAAACAGTGTTTTGTGTACATTTGGGCTAGGATTTTAAGAATTTTCTTGGCCTACAAATTTGTTACCTCTTTCAAACTACATAAAACCATTTACCAGCCATTTCATTTCAACCTTGAAATTTAAGATCTTTTTCTTCTATGAGAACATATTTCCTCTCTCTCTTCTGTCCATCAGCTGATCTTTTACTGACTCAATGTGTAATTCTTGAAAATTTTCTGACAGCTTGCAGTACCTGATCCAGCTGTTTTTCTAGCCTGCTTTGTATGTGAGAACAATCTTGGCTTATTGCATATATCCAAATACTTATTTTTCTACACATCTATCTATCTATCTATATCTATCCATCTATCTATCTATCTATCTGTCTATCTATCTATCTATCTATCTATCTATCTATATCTATATCTATATCTATATCTATATCTATATCTATCTGTTTTAGAAGTAAATATGGAAGAGTTCAAGCAAAAGAGAGATTGTAACACAGGAATCATGTTCAGT